ATTGGTTAAAAAATATGAAAAATTAATACAAGATTTCTCGTAAGTTGATGGAAATGAAATTAAAAAAAAAGTTGAGCATAAATCTTTAGGATTTTTTTATGATCGCCTTAAGTCGGATATTAACAAAAATCGTAAAAATCACGAACATTTGCAGTTTTCTTAGAGTTAGAAATTCATAAAAGTTTTTCTATTTATGTATAATATTTTTAAACTGTAATGCAATATTCCTCATAAGTTTTCCTACATTTAATAAAAAAAATTGTGATGGAATCACATCATTTTTTTATGAGCGTTTGAAGTTAGACACACAATATTCAGCCATTAATTAACAAAGTCTCATAGAATGGTTTTCTTATTTCGTGGTAATTCAAAAACTAATAACAGTAAATACTTGAAATTTTCCCTAAATGTTAAGCTTATAATTTCAACAAGATACAATTTTCATAAAACTTTTAGTTTTTGTTTCCATAAATGTTAATACTATTCTTTTGTTAGGTTAGAATTCTGGAAAATTTAATACAAGATTCACCATAAGTTTTATATTACTAGTCAAGAAATATCAATGAAATATATTCACGATTTCTATTTATAAATATTTTTTTTTTTTTACTTTTTATCAAAAATTAAGGTTATTAGCTTACAATGATATAAATATTAGTTGTACAACAATAAATACATAGGATTCACAAGATTGCGTAATACATATCAATATATTTGGGAATTGAAATAATTGGTTGTTGTCTTTAATAGGGCACATAGCTTCGAAGAGGCTGTCTGGAATTCCTAGTCTACTTCTGGTTTATAAGTATTTAAAGTTTAAATTTTGAAGAAACTAGATATTTAAACAAAAAATTACGATTTTATTTATATTTTTGTAATTATAAATATTGTTTGTGAGTATTTGATACTTTTAAAGTATGTTATTAATCATCATAAACATACAATGATATTTTCAATTTTAATTTTTCCGGCAAACATGAATTCAACCTACCGTAGTACACTGCCATTGTTGCTTATTAGTTGTATAAATGACTTTAATAGTTTAATCACAATAATATCATAAAATGTACTAAGTAGTATATGCTGACACTAAATTTTTGGTCAGAATCGCTTTTCGTTTACAATGACTATTGAAATTAAATTCAAAACATTCATTATTGCAGTGACTCCTCTAGACATCTACTTCACAACAGATAGTTACCCTTTTTCAGTTGATTTTAAAATAAACCATCAAGTTAATACCAATATGTATTTAAAATATTTTTTTATTTTAATGATGGTAATGAACAATGATAGGTACTATAATTTCTTTTATGTTTCTTTACAAAATAATATTAGGTCAATATACCCAAAATTCTTATTCTTCTTATTCTTTTAAAAGTTGATTGACTGTTTTTAAATTGAGTTAAAATAATATTCGTTCCATACTAACTTTAAGCTTATCGAGTTAAATTCATTATTTTATAACTATTTACTTTTAACTTAACGATCTTATGTCGTTCTTACTTAACTTTAAAGCTTGAGTTAATTATTTTCATTAACTGGCCCGCCTTTGACTATAACAATTCACTAACTATTACATTTAAATAAATAAGTAGTATGGAATAAATACTATGAATTTGATGCATTATTATATAATAATTCTCAATTTAAAGTTTAAACTTAAAATAAATTCAAAACTATCATATTTTGTAATAGAACTTAACATAGTTATAAAATGAGTAGAAAATACAAAGTTTATACAATATTATAAAATAAATGCAATTGATCATATTATATTCATATTATTTTATTACTTTTTAATTTCTTATAATTTATTTTAAATGTTAATACTTACCTATTTATTGATGGTTCAGTTTTGATTTTTACATTAAGTAAATTTCATAAGCCAACGTATTTTATTTCAAATACCTATTTGTTGTATAAACTATAAATAAATGATTTTTGTTATTTTTTAATTTGTTAATTAGTTATATTTAACATGAGTATTAAAAGATTGAATAATTTCCACATGGTTGATTAATTTAGTGTTGTAAACTTTATTCTATAAAAAAATTAATATGTAATATTTATTAAACCCACCTACTTGGCTAAATAATTTTATTCACTAAAAAATCAACACAAACTTATCGCAAATGTACTTCATAGTTCATAATATTACTATGCTTTAATTAATTTCTACAAAAAATAACTTTCTGAGAAATTAATAATAAGATAGTTGATAATAATATAATAATATTTAGTTTGCACATAGATAACTATGTTGAATTATTTTATTTGAAAATTACGTTGTATAATCTATACTCTATAGTTTCAAGGTGTAATGTCCATATTTTTATCCATTATTTTATTCAGCTCATACCTGCATTGTATTTATTGATACATTTTGGCAACTTGCTTAGTTTTATATCTAAGCCAGTGATTATAAATTAATATTTTTATTTTGTAAAAATTGTGAATAGCCATCAAAATTGCTAAAATTGGTAAAAACCAATGAACAAAAATTATTGTTCAAGTAATTTCTTATAAATATTATTCGGAATTAATTCCATTTCTAATATTATCTGATTGATCTCAGCAACAACAATAAGTTTGATATAACAATAATAACAACAAACAGTATACACTTAGGTACTTTCTGTCTGCAAAAGCCAAAAATCGACTAATGGTATTGAACTTGTGGAAAACTTTGTATCTGTTGTTACGATTGTTTACATAAAGTTTTCTGGTCATATCATTATGAAGATCTTCAAAGAATTATAGCTGATTTGACAGAATAACTTTATTATAAAGATTAATAAAGATAAATAAAAAATTAATTTCTTCCCAGTCCACTTTGGCCCCCGGAGACCAAGTGGATTCATAGTAGAAGTTTCAAGGCATTTATGTAGTCGGTGATTTTAAATAAATATTGTTTCTTATATTATTATTTTCTTCTTATTTTTCGTTTTGTTCGCTGTTTCTATTTCTTACCTACCTGATCTATCCGTATTCTTTATTTAGTTGAATTTCTTTTCATTCGTTTTGCCTTTCGAAGATGTTATTACATTTCACATCACGTACAAACATAATATATTGAGAGTATACAATCGTGAGGATAAAAATAGAATTTCCTGTTAAAATATTTCCCCTTTTTTTGACTTTCAGAATGATTCAGCAGGAAGGTATATTCATAAGACTGCACGATTTTGCAATTCAAAATGACTTTTACTTCGAATGTTTTCACTGCCTCTTCAGTTGTTCTTGGTTTTTTATAAACTCTAAACATTTATAGTGCAAACACCGTTTGTTCGATTTCAAAAAGTCAATGCATCAATATTTTTATTACAGTGTATCAAATGATGTTTAAAACAACTAACCATTCTGGTTTTTAATATTTTAAAATAATATATTTAATTAATTAACTATTTCTTTTGGATACAGTTCCAATTTGACGTATAAATGTATAAATATCAATACCTACTAACGTATACAATTGTTAACGTATTCTACAAAGCAAAGATCTACTAATGCTATGAACAATTTATCTTCTCGAGTATTTATTTAAATACTATTCTTTATTTTAATTTATTGCTTTCATATGAGAGCTATTCAAAATAACAAAATAATTTGAACAAAACAAGTGTAAATCGTAATAAGTACATTATCATATTTTGGTAATAAGAAATAAGAATGATTAAAATGAATTTAATTTAATACAAATTGATCAAAAATTATACTTTATGTCACAGAATGCATAATAATTGTATGTATTTATCAATACATGATTGAATCCAAATATTTTTCAAAACATAAGTAGCAGTAAATTAGTCGATACAAAATTGTTTTTCTTTTACTTTTTTTCTTCAGTTCAAATAACCAAATTAATTTTAGATATTTTTCAACATACGTTATAAATCCATAGTTTTGTTCAAAAATACGAATTAAAAAAATATTTGCACCTAGGTAGCCGTTTAAAAAAGAAAACACAATAATAATCAAATAAGAAACACCTTTTTCGCTGTTGTGTTTTAGGAGCAATAATAATATAAAAATAACTTGCATTGACACCAAGAACCCTATAATGTATTTGGGTACAGGTGAATATTGAATAGTAAATTAAAGCAGTAATACCTTAACTCATTCCTCAAAATGATATAATAATAAACCGAAAATGAAAAAAAAATGGAAACGATAATCATCATATTAATGAATAATTGTAATCATAGTCATAAGATGTTTATTATTTTTTAAATAACTAATATAATTATGCAAAAGATTTATATTTGTTTTAATTACATTTAGACACACAAGCTTATAATGCTTATAATTGTCGTTAATATACTTCTTGCACTGTATTAAATTATTTAAATATGAAGAAGGTTAAGCAACTGCGTTTCATTCACCAACAACCTTTATTATAGATTTTACAATTCGTAATGATTGTGATAAAATTATAAATTATAGAAAATTTAATATGAAATATTTAAAAATTAAATGAACCTACTTCGTAATTTTATAACAAATATCTATGCACTTGTTGTATTTCTAGAAGTGTATAACAATACAAAATACCTATGACAATATTACGTTTATGATGTTTAATATAATTTTTTTTTATTCTTAAAATATAATGACGATTCAAATAATTAGTTCAACAAATGCATACTGCAATAAATAAAAAATTTGGCTAATGAAAAAAGAGTATTGTTTTATAAAAGCATAATATAAAAAGTATTGATAATTGTTAAAATCCCGTTGTAAAGCAATATATTTTTTTGTACGTATAATTAGATGATAAATTATTAAGTAGATACCTACCTATCTAAATTAAATAACATGTCATTTGTAGTGAGTATTTGTGTAGGTACTATATATAGACGCATATGCGAATTTCTGTACAAGTTAAGTTATTTTAACTGCGTACAAAATCAATATAGTGTACTTAAAATTTGTTTACGTTTATATATTATTTACATCATCGCCTTATACTATAGTTTGATATTTATGTTTGATTTCAGATGTTGCCTAATTGGGACGGTACGACTAGTGGTTCGATTTCAGTAAAGTTTCGGACCAACGAGCCAGATGGTCTTTTATTTTTCAGCAGAGGTCAAACTGAACATACTGTAAGTAAATTTAAATATTTGATAATGTCCAAACAGAAATACATAACATAGTTAAAATGTATATATTTTAATAAACTCTATAAATTTATATTTTTTTTTATTAAAATCAATTAATTATCATTGTTACTAAAATTCTCGCCCCACGTACACATTTTCTTCAACCAATCGTAACCATACTAAAATGGCTGTAATTGCCGATGCTTAAGATCAATAAAAATAAATATATTTTACATTTGATACAATGCAACTATAATACAATATTATGTTCTTATTGGCCGATTAGTGCATAAGAACAATAACAATATCTATCAGAACAAGATACTTTGTTATTACCTACAGTAAAATTATGTAATTTATAATGAGTATTTGTATAGGTACTACTACTATACAATATACATAGACAATTACGTAAATTACCTACTCCACAAGTAAATTAGCACTATTCTTTGTGATCTTAATATATAATCTGAAATGGATTAAACTCAACAAATACGCATTATAACCATAAATATGTAACTGATTTTATATTTTGTATTTAAACTTTTTAAAATAGGTAAGTACACGGTAAAACGAATATAATAATATTTCATGTATTGAAACATTTTAGAGTTTAGCTCAATTTTGTTTGTCAAATGTTTATCAGTTGTCAGCAGTCTATTAAATCAATTTTTGTTTTAAAATTGTATTACATTAACGTCTGTAACAAATTATATTATATAATAATGCTTGTTTAGCTATTTATTTCGTAACTCTTTTTCTGAATAATGACTAATATTTTATTTAAACCGTAATTATTACGATCGCAACCAATATAAAACTTATATTTTATATTAAAATGGTTTTTTATAAGTATAGGTTGAAAAATATTAACAAAGTTTTTTGAAGTTTTCAGACTAAATATTATACTTAGGTTAATAACTAATATAAAAGTTATATAGACCAACTTAAATTGTCTCAAGTATTTAAAAGATATCTATTAAACAAACATCCTAAAAATACATAATTATCGAGTGACCACAAACTTCATCGTGATAAAAATTGTTTACCAATAATACATTTTTAACTTTTAAGTTTTTAATCAAATATTTTAATAACAAATATTTAAAAATAATGTGATTCTTACGATATATTTTAGTATGCCATTCTGGTGATTTTAAATTTAATTTATTTCTAGTCTGGTATTTATGCGGTTGAAATGGTTGACGGACGACTTTACGTGTATTTGGATTTGGGCGCTGGCGGCACTCGTGCTGAAGTGAGTTCGGAAAAGACTAAAGTCAACGACGGTCAATGGCACGAATTTTCGATATGGCGTAATGACAGAGATATACACTGCACCGTAGACGATTACTCTTCAGATTTCACGACAAATGGTAAGATGCATATCACAATATAAAAATATTTAATTTACTAAAATATTAGCATTATTGTTCGTTAAGTGTTTTTCGTCAGAGGTTGATCACAAATCCATTAGGTCTTCTCCCACCTCCACTTAACTATAACTTTACTTTAATCATAAATTATACAATATTTATTGTTCATTATAATTTATATTATTGTAATTTATATAAAAAAAAATGAGTTATGCACATCACTTACTGATATTTAAAACCATTTTTATACCACTTGTTTTAAAAAAAAACTATTTTTGAGAATAAAGTTAGGCCTAAGACCTTAGTTTAAGTTAGTTCACCTTAAAATTTGCTTGCAATTTTATGGTAGGTTGCTTTAACCACTGAACATGAGGGACATTCTTCTTGCAGTTTAAAAAGCTGTTTTTATAAATGCATATTAATATAATAAATAATTATAATACGTGTCTAATAATATGAATACCGATGCAATTAACTTTGCACTGAAATATTTTACAAATATGCGATGACGTAGTTGTGGATTTTGGGTTTCAGTTTTCTAAACTGTACAATGGTATTTTATTTGTCAATAAAAGAAGAGTTCAAGCCGCCACTAGATTCTTTTATACAGTGTTGCTAATACACAGTAGAGTATTGACACAACAATAAAATAAAATATATAATTATTTGTTACGTTAGACTTTTAACTGTAGACATTTTAATTTAGCGGTTTATGTTCGGATATCACGAAAAAACTTTTCTAATGTTTCTACCTGACCTTAAAAAATATCCGAAATCGTATCGTTTAAATTTTACATAGTTGTTTTGCATTTATATAGCGAACATAACGCGTATCGTGCTTACAAGCGTAAAGGTTTACCATATCACATGGCATACTGCGTAACATACATTGAGTATAAAGTTTTGTTTAAATATATTTAACTAATAGTTTGACTAGTGCTCAAAAGTAAATGACCTTAAAAAAAAATACAAATACGACCTAAACGTTTCGACAAATTTAAAAATCATATAAATAGCAAGATTAATTTTGTTTTATTTTATTTTATTTAAGTTAATGCATTTAATTTGAGAAATCAAATGCTGGCATTAAACAAAAAGATAAAACCAAATTAATAGGTAGTATAATAGTTCTATAATTATGAATAAGTTTATCAATACTTATGTGTGATGTTAAATAAATACAAATAATTTGTCATGTTAATAGTTCAAAAATTTAATAAAAATTATTAATTTTTTTTTGTAAAATATGACAATTATAAACGAATAAAAGTTATGTTTTTTCTCGAAGTTATTAAAATTTCGTAAGCAATTACATGAATAAATGACCAAAAAAATACCCTTATATCAAAAATCCAATATAAAAATCAGATATTTAAACGCATGTAGTATTGTTAAAACACAATTTTAGCTAAATAATCAAATCGTTTAGGATGTACCACCATGTACCCGTGTACGAAAAAAAAAAATTCTAAGCCCTAACTATTATGACTTACAAGTTACAATAATACATTTTATCAACACTCCAACAATAGGTCATCGTTTTTGAAAAATTTATCAGTAATTATTAACTGCATTTTCAGGCGATTCTAATCAGTTACACCTACAAAACGGCATCATGCTGGGATTTGGTGGTCGGGCAGTATACCACAAAAAGATACCACCTGGCGTGTGGACACTGTCTTTGGAAACGGGATTCGTTGGATGCGTTCGTGACCTCGTCCTGGACGGTGTAGCAATCAATTTGGTCAGCTCGTCTCTAGAACAGGACCATGGTATTGTTTAATGAGCCAAATAAAGGCAAATTATCTACTGGTATTGTGGGGGAAAAAATAATATATTGAACTGACGAGATCAAACTAGTGTACCCAAAATAATAAATATTATAGTGTCCGTATTATACGTTAGTGAGATTCCTTCGAGGAAGATAGAAGATAATCAGTAAACTATAAAACCGTCTTACAGATTTCCAAAAATGTATACCTAACTCTTCAAATAATTTAATAACATTAAGTAGTGAAAACGTGTTAGTGGTTAAAATACCATTTTCGAACAGTGATTTAATGTTGTACAAATAAATCTAATGAACACGTCATGTATAGATCTTTTAGTCTATATCATAATATTGTGATGTACGACAAAACCGTTCAATATATTATTTTAAAAATATTTGAACTTTTTCAACATTTTTCAACTCTGAAAATTATGTCAATAGTGTCCGTAACTCCGCATTGCCCTGAATCTACAAACAGTTGCAAATCAGACACTTGTTACAATGGAGGAATTTGTCACGAAGGCTGGAACCGCGTGATATGTGACTGTTCAAATACCGAATACGCCGGGGCCACTTGCATGAAAGGTAATGCTAAATATTAAACCAATAATACTTTATAATACTTACATTTGAGTTGAAGTTCGGACAACGAAATAAGTTAATCTCATTGACGATAAAAGTTTGATAATTGGGATTGAACATTAAACAAACTTATTACAATACCTACATTATCCATTTATATATTATTTAGTATATCTAGGTGCTCTTCGTTCTTTAGAACTTAATGAATAAAATTGCAGTCCGCCACCCACAACAGCATTTCTTGATTATTATAATGCTTAATACCATAAAAAGAAAATAATACTGTGGGATTCTAAATTATTTTAAAAATGTTTTGAAAGTTTGATAACATGCGCCGTAATCATTAAAGTATCTTATTTATATTTATCATTTATTTCATTTTTTTTTTTTTAAATTACCTATAAAATAAAATGCATTTCATATTATATGAGGTTTATTTCAGTGTATTATGTTTAAAAACATCAAGAGTACCTATAAACGAAAAACATAAATAATTCAATAGTAAAATTCAAATTTTTATCTCTACAGAATCGTCCATGTACAGTTTTAACGGAACACAATACGTACAAGCAATAATGCCGGAAAAGATGACAACTCAAGTTGAAGACATGTATTTTCGATTCAAAACAAATAGACCGTTGGCAGTGTTAATGAAGACTTTTGACAGTTCGTGGGACAGGCTAGAAATCGCATTAATAGTTGGAAAAATTAGATTAGCCTTAAAAATCGGTGACAAAGAAAAGGTATTAATTATTTTTTATAAATACAATTTGATTTTAAAAATATTATAAAACTCCTGATTCTAAGTACAAATCGTATTATTACATTTTAGTAATAATTTCTATAATGTACTCATACAATAATTTAAATACAACGTAAAATAAAAAAAAAACTGTTGATTTAAGATTTAGATAGTTTAAAGTGGAGTACATTTTTAGTTTGAAATGTTAATGAAACGTAAAACAAACTAAAAAACCATTTATTTTCCATTATTTAGGTGGTCCTATGTGGATCTCATTTAGACGATAATAACTGGCATTCGGTGCACTATATTAGAAGGGCGCACGAAATTCGTTTGAAAGTGGACAATGTCACTGTTAAAAGTAATTACTAATATTACCATTTAATGTTATTTGAACAGTGATTTCTAATACCATATTTTTTTTTTAAGATGACTCCGATATGGAAGATAAAATAACACTTAGATGGCAAGGTTTATTAGTTGGTGGAACGCCTCCTAAGGATCCAGAAGCCTTAGCAAACCTACCAAGCTTTATCGGCAGCATCCAACAGTTTATACTTAACAAAATTAATTATTTTGATCTCGCAAAAATTTCAACCAAAGGCTGTAAGTTTCTATTTGCAATCTAGACTGAGTATTGAGATTAAAATATTAAAGGAAATATTCTCAATAGCGTTATTTTTATTTTCAGTTTCGGAAGACTTGCCCAAAGTACACATGACCTCCAAATACCAAAAACAAGAAAAACCACCTTCGTTGGTGCATACGGTCACGTTCCTATCCAAGAATACGTTCATAGGGTTGCCACCATTAAAAGCCTACTCCAGAATGGAAGTTTACTATCGATTTAAAACTAAGCACACATCCGGATTGTTTTTCTACAACGGTGGAAAGCACAACGACTTTGCACTTGCCGAACTGATAAACGGCCACATACTTATCAACATTCGTTCAGGCACGCACGTGGTTCGACTTCGTGACTCTTCGAAAAACAGTTACAGTGACAACTACTGGCATTCGGTGCACTTGTTACAAATATCGGCTACTATGTTTTGTCTACTTATTGACGATCAGGTGGCGTCAACTACAACCATCTCTAGACCACACAACATACAATTAAACGGGATGTTTTATGTTGGTGAGTTCGATTTGTTGTTAATTTTTTTCGATATAGTAAATCTAATAAACATCCTTTGTTTAAAATTGTAATTTTTAAAGTAATACTTTTTATATTTTTTTTTGTAAGCAAATCACATCCTATATAATAGTATAATACTCCATTGACAAAACTATTCGCCATCGGCGACATTTTGCTAACCTTTCACAAAAGTCATGCTTATAATATATACAATTTTTTTTAAATAGTACCTATACAATGAATATATCTTTAAAAAAATATGACGAATTTTTACAGGTGGCGTACCTAAAGAATTGCATAAACGTCAGTCAAAGCACATACACTCGAGACACGGGTTTGAGGGATGCATGTCAGGACTAGAATACAATGGGGAATCTCCGGACATGGTAGAGAACGCTACCATACCCAGCACACTCATCACCGTGGGTTGTGACGGTAAGTTCCTGAATAATCTATACCGGAACTAACATTTTTGATACTGTGATTGGTGACCCACTATTAGATCCTTATTTTACCAACGACCCATCAATAAAGGTGTTGTTGTATTATTTCACTGTAATATGTGGGTAGAAATAAAATTATATAATTATTGTTATCTTATACATAATATACATAATATTTTATGCTGGTGACCCATCAAAATAATTTTGTGACCCAAACACAGTATTTATATCACCCCTTGTTTGCCAGGATTCCGAAATAAATACGATTTATATAATTCTAATATACAAATATCTGAGACCCAGGGGGATATTACCCCCCTCTGGCCCCCACCTACAATTAATCATTGCCCAAATCATGGGTTGGGAAATATTGGCCTACACAGAATTTTAACAAAAATATATTACCACATTATATTTTATACTATTCAATATTGTTATTTGACTCTCCGATTTATGACTAAGGACTCAGCAAAATGTGCACGCAAGACATGTGTGATAACCATGGGACATGCGTGGAACAGTGGAATTCATATTCGTGCGATTGCGACATGACTGCATTCGTTGGACCGACGTGTTCTGAACGTACGTAGAAATCTAATATTCAAAATATGATTCAGACTTTAGATTTTATTTTTAATTACCCAAAATTATAATTGTGGTACGCTTTTACATATTATATAGTGTATCGTGTCGTATCGTGTCGTGTCAATCAAATCGTATTGTGACGTATTGTAACCGAGCATACTAATAATTGTGTACAACTCATATTTTAAACAATATTGGTTACCAATAATTGTAATCATAGTTATCACTTATCACGTCGTCGCACGACACGACACACTACGTACCTGTGAATCCGACTTAAGTTTGATTCCTGCTTTATATTATAATATTGTACCAAATGTTCGTGTAATATTTATACAGTAAAATTGGAAATAAAAATAATTATTTATGTCTTTTCAGCTTCTATTTCCTATGATTTTGGCCCTGACGGAGGTCTTGTGACATATGCTTTCCCCGACGGACGCCAACCAGATATGCAAAACGACCTTTTGGCTTTGGGTTTCATAACGACCAAGTCCAGTGGTGTGCTGTTTCGTGTAGAAAGTGGCACTTCTGGTGATTATCTACAGCTTGAAATGGTAACCTATATTCATATTATTACTTAATAGGATAAAATTATTGAATAGTTTAACTATAAATTATAATATTATGAATATTATTTTTAGTACATTTAGTTGTTTTTCAATATTAAATAGGTACAAAATGTATAAAAGTTTAGTTATAAGTAATTCGTAAACTTTAATCCGTTGAAAAGTTTGTTTTGAATTATTTTTCCACCATCTTTCATAATACAAAAATCTATTAAAAAGATTAAATTATGGTTCATATTTGTGATATTTTTTTTCAAAAAAAAATCACTGCACATATTTAAAATATTCGATTCACAATTTATAAAATAATCTTATTGGAATCTACAGTTGTTTTTAACAACATTAAAAAAAAGTTGTATCGTTTTCAAATTACGATAATACTCTACAATAGTATATAATAGCACCTAAGCATAAGATTCTATGGTTACATAACGATCAAATAATTAAATATCTAACACACTTTTTTGGTTTGACTAAAACTGTTAAATAAGCTATTTATTTATTTTCTTTAAAAATAAATTTTTGTTTTAATATTTATACACGAAATTATTAAAAACTATTTTCAGATTTCGAAATAAGAATTTAACTTTCTTTAACGTATATTAAGAGAAAGTTTTCCGTCTTTCAACTACCTGCTAAATTTTACTTTTTGTAACACAGATTTATGCTCCAAACACCTTGTAAACTTTATTAATGACAATATTATGTGTGGATAAATTTGTAAATTACGTTTATTGAACTTTTTTATGAATAATAAAATTCACAAGTTCATAAGTTGTATAAAGTTTCATGGCGGGAAATTCAACCAATTTTTGATTAACAATGAAACGTATTGAACATTGAATTTGTATTACATATTAGATTATTATGCATGTTGAACTCTTACGGTTACAGTATAGAAGTATGATTCTCATGACAATGAATTTATTATTTTTATTTTATACGTAATCGTTTGATAAACTGCATCAACAAGTGTGATTTGGTTTTATAAGTAGTTACCAATACATATACAAGTATGTTTTATACTTCGTGTACTAACATGTTTTTCTTTTATTCCAAAAAGGTAAATGGACACATTGTAGTAATTTACAACGTTGGGACTAATGACCATCCTATCGGTGAGGCAAATGTCATAGTGAACGACAATTCCTATCATTTAGTCAGATTTGTACGGTCGGGGCCAAACTCGACTTTGCAGGTGGACGATAACAGTATGCAAACTCTGTACCCTTCAGGTATGCATTGCTACTTTATCTAAACTGAACAAGACAGTATAATACACAGGAAAACCATAAAACTGTTTGCAGGACACCAACTCAGCGTTTTCAATAGGCAGTCAACAATTCAAGTTGGTGGTCGGTGGAATAAAACTAAACAGCGTATTGAAAACGCGTTCGAAGGGGTTATGGTGGGGTTGGTCTTCAATGGCCTCAGGGTGTTTGACTTGACGGCCAACAGAGATCCAAGAACGACCAGCAAAGGAGATGCTCAACAGTTATCATCAATTTTGGACAGGCTGAACGAACACTCTCTACTGGATACCATGCAACAGGTTAATTAAAAGATTTAAATTTATATTTATTATTAAAAAAATATATAGGCTTCATAATAATGATTAGGTAACGAATATTTGTAATCTTATTCACTTAAAAATATCTCAAATTTAAATACTTAGACACCAGCATCAGGGGTAATGGACGACTTGGTGTACTCTGGAGCAGGATCTGGTTGTAACCACGACGATGAAGACCAATGCACTGTAACATTTGATGTTGGGTCTGGTGAGTAATTATAACTACTTATTCATGTAGAAAATAATTGGATTAGGATCAATAAATTCATGGATATAACTTTAGTTTAATAAAATTCATATTTCCTTCCTATTTTAAACTAATGCAACTTCATATTTATACTTTTGGTTGAAATTATAATTATTTAGTTTATATTTTTGAAACTTGTAAAATATTATAGTAATCAACTTTGAAATATTTTCAACGAATTAAGAAATTGGTTTTGGAATAAATAAGTAATACTTAAAACATTGATAAAATATTATAATATTTGTATTCCTTTTTCAATACAGGAGACGACTTGATTACACCCGTCTATGTACCTCCTACAGTTGTACCACCTCCATCATTAGTAACTGAAGTCCCTGGAGCGTGTGATGACGAAGAAACAGATTGTATAACGGGTTCTGGATTTGGCCCTACTTCTTCTACTGACGATTCAGCCACTACAATTAAAAGTATAAAACTTTTTAATACATTAATGTAATAACTGTGTATCACAATATATTTATTGATCAGAGTTAAGTTGGTAATCATAAGCAGGTAGATAATAAAATATTAAGAAACCACCTATAGACGTTTAAACAAATTTAAAAATATTTAATCGTACATTCGACATTTAAATATCATAACAATATATACATATATATAATATTTTAAATTAAACTGCACTTTCCGAAAAGAAGAATAAATATTATTATTTATAACTAATACATCCGATATAAAATATGCGTCACTAAATGATAAAACCAACTATGAGTTTTTTATTTCATTTTAACCACTTACCTCAACTTATAACGAATCTATATCTAGCTGATCTATGTTGGCGGGTACCTATACTAATCATAAATAATTGCCAAGAAAAGTATAGTATATCTACCAAAGTTGCAGTCACCGATAGAATAATAAACAATAATATACGAAATACTAATCTAATGATAATGGTATAAATTAATACGTCGGACATGTAACAATCGTGATATTGTTTCATTCAGGTTCACATCCGGTGGTGACGACGTTCAACGGAGCTACCAACTGGACGACAACGTCTGTCAACCGATCCGCTGGGGTGGAACAGAAGTCGGCGAACAAGACTGGTGCAGCGGCCACGGCGAGTACCGCTGTCCCGGTCACCAATCAAACGGAGCCATACTGGTCTTCGGCTCCCTCGACCACAGCGACAAAAACGGCCACGCACTCTAGATTGCCCGGTACAGCGGTAACCGCGACCGCGACCGCGGTGACGAACACGAGCAGTTCGGCCGGCGTGTCGTCATCCGGCGGCAACGAAAAGTCAACCAGCGCAGGCACCGGAACTGTGGTCATTACCACAAGCACTACCAGTACCTCGACGCACTCGACATTCTTCGACGGCGACAAGCATACGAACGTGAAATCGGGCGGCGGCGGCGGTGGTTACGAATACGGCGGTGGCAACCGTTACGGTGGCGGTTACGACGAGCGCGACGGCGAGACGATGATGACCACGCCAAACGTGGTGTTCGGCGGCGAGCATTTCCCGCCGGCGGCCAAACCGACTCCGCCCAAGCATGCCGAACCGCCGATCAACACTAAGGCGGCCGAGAGCACGGCGTTCGTAGTGCTCGTCACGGCGGCCACGCTCATCATCATAGTGCTCATCATACTGCTCGTGCTCAAGGTCAAGTACAGGACCGACACGAACAGGTATTGCAATATTATTAAGACGAAAGAGTAACACAGTACAATGTTGAGTGGTAGATGCCTATTATGTTGGCTTAACTTTTATAAAAACATTGATTATTCCAGTACTCAGCTGTGTTGCTAAAAGTGAATATGAAGTGATTAGGAACGGGGTGTGTGTATAATACGCAAAGACCTTTCGCGTTCCAGAGGAGTAATAATATATTTTCAAAAACGTACGACTGCGCAATCGTTGGATTGTTGTTTTGCAAGTGATGTTTTTTCTTAAATTTAAAAACATTTTTGATACCTGATCTCTAATATTGGTATATCTTTATGAAACAACACAAATAAATTGAGAGTATGCTATTGTACATTGATTTAATATGCACAACGGATATGCTGTTGTGGCACGTTGAAATGTTGAATTTTAAATTTAACTCAGACGTTTCGCCGTCGGACGGTTGTCTGGTATAGTGGTATTATAATCATGACGTTATTTACCTATTACATTGGGATTTGGCTATTCTGTACATCTAGTCATTTCTATTTTCAATACATAAACTACTATTTATTAATATATTGCATTAATCGCAGGTACAAGATCGAAATGCCCAAAGCTTACGGCGCGCCCGTGGACCAGGGCTCGGACAGGGGTGGCTTGTGCCATCAGCAGCAACAGCAGCATCTCCATCACCAGCAGCAGGCCAACCTGCTGTCGCCGGGCAACTATCCGTCGTCAGCGCAGTCGTCGCCCACGTACGCACACAACAACTTCAGGCCGCACAGTGGCGGAGGTGGCGTCGGCGGCATCGTCGGAGTGAGCAACAAGCCCAAGAAGAGACAGGACGTCAAGGAGTGGTACGTGTGAGGCGGCCAGGCGTACACGTGCCGTACGCTCACCGCCGTACCCATACGGCACTGCTCGGAAAACAATAACGATAATAATACGCCCAAATATTATTATACCTACGATTTAGTATTGTGTATATAAGTGTACGATAACGTTATCATTTGGGTACCTACTTTATATTATTATTATTACTGTGTGATTTATAAATGTACATAATAGTATAGGTACATAATATAGAGGCAAAGGTATAGCCGATGTAAATATTATGTTTCACGAGGCGCGACGACGGAAACGGACCGTGTTTGCATTGGTAACGTTAACCGCACGTGGTATATAATATATGTACCACTTGCGACCGTGACATTAAACCATGCGCGTTTTACTGGTACCTACCGATGGACCTTTAAACCAGCCAACTAGTTCTGAACCATGTGATACTTTATAATATCGTTAAACGATTATTTACGATAAAATATTGTTTATGGAGTATGGTTATATTATTAGATTTGTTATATTCTCTACTTAATATGTATTGCATAATAATTTATAATATATATATATAGCCTAATGGGTATTGTAATTTACGCGACGATCGAAACAATATCATCCGTCGACCACGTCAAAAATCGTTAGTAAGACTAAATTATGATAGTGACTGTGCTGATTGGTTTTTAAATATTTCAAATAATTCGCTTGGCCGTGCGATCGGATTATATTATACATATTATTATACTAATTAATATTAGACGCGTGTAATTTTTATTTGTAATGTACTTTTTTTTTCACCCAATACTATTTGTGTCATTATTCTTCCATCCTCTACGGTGTACATATTAGGTACCATATTATCTACCCAGGTACCTACCAATCGGTTATATTTTATTAATATTATTATGACAAGTGTCAGGATGTTTATGGCCCTGAAAACCCTACAAAAATTGTTTAAACATAATCAAAATATATCAAAGTATATTGGAACATCTGGTACGACCTACTCTTAACACATTAAAATATGACATTATAAACTGCGTTAATATTCATTCAAAATATAATACACAATACACATTTTTAATAATTCACGTGGTGATTACGCCATACACATTGAACGCTCGAATAACTGTGTAAGTTTTACCATCTTACAGCATACCTACCTATATGGCCTATAATGGGCGTTACCAGCGGCTGTATGTAAGTGAATGTATGACGTATTGTATTAAATAATCTTCTGTTATATCTAAAATGTAAAAAATATATATTATACTATGTACACAATCTTACAAAAATGCATCTACAACTAAAAATATGCAAAATTAAATTTAATTCAACTTTCCTGCCATACCAAACAGATTTACAATTTTAACTGCAATGTACACGACTAAGAGATAAAAATATTAAAAGTCATAAACATCCTAACATTAATTTATTACGACGCACGGGACGTGCTGAGAAAGTTCCATTTTACTATTCAACTTTATGGATATATCAGTACGGCAGCGCATTGATGTTTTATTAACATTTTTATATTTGCTCTCTGTTTTACTACTAGTATTAAGTATACCGTATTATTAAATAGCTATGTTATACATGTACCTACGCATATTCTTCAATACAAATCCGCGAATATCGATTTCGATGGATTTTTTTTCGATTTTACGTTTCAAGGATGAGACAATAATTGTAATCATTAATTTTTTATGAAGGTATTTAAAAATAACTCAAAATATAGTCATCAATACTACTACTTTTTACTTATCCTGAACCTTCGACCTGGTTGAGGACTATGCTTTGCTATCCTGTCGGGCTGCCATTATCTATTTACATAACGTAATACATTATTTACAATAATACCAAGTACTTAAGTAAAATTACAACTACAGCTTACAAAATTACACATACCTACTATTATTACAATAATTTACAAGTATCGGTTGTGCACCTTGGCGTCGGTTTATCATCGATTTGCGGACTATGGCTGCCCATGGTGATTTCTTCGCCTCTGCTATTTTTCATTTTCTGTGGTGCCCATCATTACCGTAATTTACTGATCAACTGCATACCAATTCTCTCAACTATTCAGCATAACAGATACAATAAATTCTGGTGTAACGTACTTTTCAACTACTTTAACTACTAGGCACTACTATCATTATAAAATGTTATATCATTAGGTTAAATGAATATGAGATGAGTTATTGTTATTATATTATTCCTTGTTTAATCTACCATAGCCAAATTGTAATCGAGTATGATCCATCATAAGCATTTTATTAAGGATGACAGAAACTTCAAATTCAAAACACTATGGTACCTATAGTTCGAGTTTATGTTTCTAAGGGCATCACCTGACATCTATAATTTACTCTAAATATATAGTATTATTATTGGTAGTATTATTAAATTGAAAACTTAGAAAGAACCCTTCGTGGGTAACTTCAACCTACCACGTCATCAACATTTTCTTTTTTTTATATCACACACTCTTTTAAATTGTCTCATAATATTGTTTCTATATTTCCATATTACCTGTTTGATTGTAAATTGTAACATCGTAGGATTTCCAAAAATTGACCTATAGGAAATGTGTATAGGTATAGAGTGTGTGAATATGTATTGTGTATATGGTGTACCTATGTCCAATAAGTAATACAATAGTTTCCATCAATATTCAATATTGCTACAAGTTAGCTCATAGCCTAAATATAAACAAAAAGTACATGTTTTGAAACTTAAACATTTTTTTAAGATTTTACACATTTCTAATACATGGATGTTTTCGAAGATAACTCGTTCTTCATAAAATTCTAAACAAATATCCATATTGTTGATTAAAATTTAAAATAGACAAAAGACAACTGTAAAAGAATAGGTACAAATTTGAAATCACCGTGTAGATATTTGAAATTGTATAATACTGTGACATGATAAATATAAAATAACAGATATGTAGGTACTATAACCATAAGTAAACATGTATTATAATAATATATATATATATTATTAGTTGTAAGTTATCACATGACACATACGAAAATGTAACACAAATTTATTTGAAAAGTGTTGAAGTTTAATTTTTCAAATAGGATGTAATATCTAAATTGTCGTTTTATATTATTTGTACTCACTTAGGTACCGACGTAGGTAGTTGAAAATATTGGATTACAAATTTAGAATTCCTCGTGCATAGACTTCCTCCATTTTAATCTTTACACTCGTTAATGAACAATCACATATCAATTGAAAATAATGATTATATCCTATGTTTTACTTGACTGGTATAATACCTACCTAACTAATTAACCAGTTAAACTAATACCGAACACACATAACTACATAAATGAATATCGGAGTATATTTCAGTGCCTAGTTAATAAATTACAGACCAGAAAATATTAGGTCTCATCCTTGAATTTAGCTATGTAATGTATCCTACAGTTGTAATTATTAACTATATTGTTTTTATTATTATTGATTACCAAACTTATGTGTACGGAATCAATTGTGAGGATATAATATTACTAATTAACGGACTTGAAAATGACACAAACTAACTTTTGTCGTTAGTCTGTAACAATAGCATTTTCTCGTTATATGTATAATGTGTAAATAATAAATATTAAGAATATAAGATAATTTTTAAAAAAATGTAGATTATTCGTTATATAGTTGAAATTTTGTACAAAAAAATTGTTAATCTATGACGTGCTATATAAAGTATCTACTTATTAATAATTCTAATCAATATTACCATGTTATTTACACGCAATAATAGTTTTGTTAGTTCACTTATTGTAGATAAAACTAGATTGACAAATGTATTCATGTATGTTAATACATTTAAAATGTAGTTCCCAAAATCTAAGCTCAAAATTGATCGCGAGGCGACAATTTTATTTTATATTTAGCTTAAGCAACTAATTTTCCTAGATACCTATTTGATATTGGTATTTTGATAGAATATAAACGGTGATAATAATTAAATTTAATACCTAGTAATAAATTGTTATTAATCAATAATAATATTATTTATAATAACATAAATGAGATCAAAAAACAATTCGAACGTCTTCACGCGGTTTAATGAAGCATCGTCAATAGCATTAATTTTTTTATTTAATTTTACATAATATAATAATTGTTTAAACTGTGTATTGATAAGATACATTTAATTTCACACAAGTATTTACATTTTACCATCGTAATCAATACCTATACACTTGATTACTTAGTAATGAAAACGATGTTTTAATGGAACATTTATATCTATTGACAAAATGTGACTTTTTAGAATAATTAAATTCCATTCGAATATATTGTTAAAATAATTTTATATACTTTCTACCTACTTATATTATTTATATACGTAAATGACTTATTTTTTATTCCAAATATTAAACCATTATTATTACCTTTTTGTATTCTAAAAAGATATCCATGTCAGATTTTTACATTAACATCAATCTAATGGTTCAGACATATTGTATTTGTGTTGAAATTATTTTATAATCTACTAGATGTAAAACTTTCTATTTGAAATAATTATGTGTTTTTTATCAATCATTTATTTAATACTAAATTTTAACTCAAAGGAATTTTAACTATTATTTGATGGTTTTATTGCTACATTCAAAAATCTAGAACTAATAATTTTTAATGATGAGTTACAATACAGTTAACATAATTTGAAACAACAATAAAAATTATCCATGGAGTACGATCTATTTAAATATATTTAATTTTATTACATATATTATGCATACGTCATTTTATATGGGTATATCTTCAAATAATGCGTGTCTTTTAAGTAATTTTAATGATAAAATGTATTTTACTCGTTTTATTCTTCCAAATCATATCGTATTTGTAATTTTATAACTATTAAAAAAAAATCAATAAACCTTAAATTATCAGTGAATCAAATCTATTTCAATTGCTTGTTAATAAATAACAACTATCAACATTATTAAATGAATATAATGAATGTAGGGAAAATTGAAAATTTGATAGGATATTTGATTTCATAGTAACTTTTTCTGATAAATTAAATAATGTTAGTTTTGTTGAAATGTGTTTTTGAATACCTAATATAATATTATGATTTTGTATGTCCACTGCCTTTAAGCTAGAACTTAATACTAAGTGCTCTCTCCTACCAAAAAAATTAATAAATAAAGATTCCATTTTATTACAATCTTTATAACAAATTAAGGTGTGGCATACAAATTACGTATACATTAAATCAGTCATCAAAAATCAATAAAATGTTATCAGTTAGACAGATATATACGGTCTGGTTTGGTTCCATCCTATTGTAGAAATAATTAGCTGTTCTGTTTCTGCATTTAAGTACATTTATAATATCCAACTATTGGTCTACTTACTTAAAATGTGGGATTTACAATCTACATTTAAACTGTACATCATAAAGTCATAACACTCCAAAAAATTCTAAAAATCCAAACACCCTAAACCCATACTTATACAATCAGAATGATTTTTTTAGCACTCAAATAATACATTCAAAGTTAACTCTAAGCCCATTATAATTGTTATCATAAAAAATGTAATATGATATATCTTTTTGTTTGTGTTTTTTACA